AAAGAGAAAGAAGTCAGTGGTGTCCCAGGCCACAGAGGAGTCCAGGATAGAAAGTTTCTCCTCTGAGCTTATATCACCATAAATTGCCTAACAAATTAATAACTTAAGTTTCTGGCATGTATTTATTGCTATAACCAGATAACCATACTATTTTATTTGTTGTGGGCTTTTTTTTTTTATTAAAATAGTCCCATAAGCAAATCTATAATTATTTCAAAATAAAAGTTTTTTTAAAAGCCTCATAATACAATGCTTTTATTTTCTTATTTCTTTTTTTTACCATGGCTGTACCATAATATGATGTGTTTAATAAGATCTGAAACTTTTTACATTTTTCCAGTAAGCCTCAAATGACCTAACTAGTGCAGGGGTCAGAAACTTAAATAATCTCAGGGTTCAGGCAAGTAAAATGAATGGGTGAAAGAAATCCGAGTAGGAAAGACAGAAACAAAACCTGGAGTACACATGTCCTTTCTAAAAAGAGCAGCCACAGCCAATTCCTACTACTTGGACATATGGGCTAGTCTTAACAGGTCACCTGAATTTTAAGAAAAGGCAGAAATCTGAATTTTTAAATATGAAGTCTTCCAATTGAAAAAGTAACCAATTGATTTAAATGTTTTTTAAAACGTTTTGCGAACTTAACATTTCAATAGGTCCAGGCGGCTCATGGACTGATCAGTATTTTACCTTTGCCTTATAGTATGCATATGGCATTTTAATCTTATACCTTGAGGGAGATTAAGTGGTTAATAATACTCATATGCAGTAAGAGAGCCGGATCTACAATCTATTTCTTAATTTTAAAACTAGTACTTCCTTTGCTGTAATTCTGTAACTTCTTTATCTAACAAAGGAAATACACATCCAGGTTAGACATGCAAGTTAATAATCACAATATGCTATAGTAAATTCAGGAAAGATGGCATAAGCTTCACATTTAATTAATCCAGATGCGCTGGCTCTTCTGAAATGTTTTTAGGTAGAAGCTCCAGAAAATACATTACTGATGTCTAATCAATTGTTTATGCCTCACAAATTCTGCATTAAATATGTAGGACAAAATTATAACTTAGCTAAGTAAGTATCTACATAAAGTTTTTATAAAGTACATCATGTAGACATTTTTAATTTCTGGAGAAAAGTTTAATTATTGCAGGGCTAACAGAAAATTGGGCTTCAATTCCGAGGCTTTATTTAGTTGTAATATAGACTATGTGTACCCATTCATTCAACATATACTGTGTATTTACAATTCCCTGTTAAGTAATGATAGATTGCAAGCTAACAGAAGGGTGAGGATATACATTTAAATTATTTCAATGAACGGAACATGGAGGTAAGTGCTACGGTATTGCAGGAGAAACAAACTAGTGTAGCTTTTATGTTGGCCCTCTGAAGGAGGTAATATCACAATGATTTCTGCCAGAACCAGGTAAGTCCACCACAGAGCCAGAGGGCACGTGCTCTGACTTTAAGTCCGCAGCTGAGATTCTATGAACGGAAAAGGAATCGTTCTTCTGTATTTCTCCTCTAAGAAGTTAATATACTCCTTCGTAAAGCAACTTTTCCCTGTAGTCATAACAAAACTAACGTTATGTCCTCATAGCCCTTAGTTAAGCCACCTCAACTCAATTACAACCTGTCGTGTTTTATTTTCCACCGGGGAGTTGCAAACTAATTTAAACTTAAAAGACATCGCCTGCGCAAGGAGAGGCAAATGTCGCCGGTTAGGAGCAGCTGACTCAATTCGGCACCTTGGTCGTCAGAATGTAGCCGCACAAAATCGAACCCAGATCCAAGCCCACCAGCCTAGACCACGCAGTCTGTCATAAGGGGCCGGGCCGGCTCTCACTTTTGCCTGGGCACGGGCGCAGGGGCTCGGAAACGAGACGGGGCCCGCGTTTTCGGAGTGAAAGATTATTTACAGCCACGGCCCAAAGAAGCCAAAGCCAACAACGGGCTGGTGCAGCGCGGTGCCACCGCCATGCAAGCAGGTCTCACACCGCTCACCTTCACAGCCGGCCCCCGGGCGCCCCCCGGGCTCCTGGCCCAGCGCCGGCGCCGGGTTAGAGACCCAGAGCCCGGCGCAAAAGGCCACCCAGACGGCTGGGCTCGCGCACCGCATGCCGAGCCTGCAGCTCCAGACGCCCAGGCCAGCAGCACCGACCGCGGGCCGCGACGCAGGCGTGAGGCTGCGCCGGAAGCTGGGGAGCGCAGCGAGCCCGGAGTTGCTGGGACTAATGACGCAACTCACTCAACCCACACTCGCCCAAGTTACCATTGGCTCTCAGCGAAGGGGCAAAACACCCGGCGGGGCGAAGGAGCCCTTTCCTTTTTATAGAAAAACCTGATTTGCGCGTGCGCACTACAGCACACGCCGTGCGGCTTCTGCGGGGCAGGTAGAGACGCAGGAAAGCTATTCGTCGACTGCCGTGCGAGAGGCGGGAACTTCACGCTGATTGGCGACAACGCGGGAGGCCGCGGCGTTCGGACCGACGCAGTGGGCGGGCGGGAACGTGGAGTCTCCGCGGTGCCTGATGGGGCTGTTGGGAGCCGGAGACCTGTAGTCGGCGGGGGACCGCTCTGCTGCTGCCGCCTTCTCTGCCGCCTCATGGCGGCCATCGGAGTTCACCTGGGCTGCACTTCAGCCTGCGTGGCCGTCTATAAGGTGAGGGAGTCGGGGGCTGGGCTGCGGGCCCGGTGTCAGCCACCCGTTGTCCGAGTGCGTGTCCAGGTCTCCGGTCACCTACGGCGTGGAGCGGCGCGCGGTGAGGCTTTACTGCGGAGAAGTTTCCAAGCAAAGGGCCGGCCTCATCGCCTGCGGCTCCGGAAAGCCAGTCGCGGCCTGGAGGGAGGGTCGTGACGACGCCGGCGCACGGGGTCCGGGGGCGTCAGGGCCGCAGGAGGCCGGGAGGGTCTCTGGGATGGAGCGGCCCCAGGAGGCCCGGAGGTTTGGGGACCTTTGCCGGGAAAGGGCGGGGTGGCGGAGATCGGTGGCTGGAGCTGTGGTTGACCCTGTGCGGCGTGCGGAGCGAGTTGGTGGTGCGCGGTGTACTGGCTTGGCCTCTCTGGAAAGAAGATAGCGTGACAAGCGGTGGTGGTCTTCCTCGTCGGGGAGGCGGAAGGAACAATAATACTCGACTCCCCTGACGCTAGTTTAAATGTCAGATGACTTGTCAGGAAAAGCCAAAGGGTTAGTGCCCCTTCATCACATGTAGAAAAGTGAAGAAAGAGGTATTTGTAGGGGAAGGAAGAGAAGGAGAAAGGGTGGTGAAATAACACTTATTGGATATAGAAAGGTTGTTATGTTTGTTTCCATTATTGACTGTGCAGAGAAGACTGGGGAAAAAATGAGGCAGTTCTTTATGGAATGTTGGCCTTTCGTAAAATCTAGGAAATTAATAGTTGCAATTAAGTCTACAAGTTTAAAATATTGCTAGATCAATATTTCTTTCCACATAGATGTCAAAGTAACACTGGCGCACATATGTCTGAATATGTCCTATGAGTCTATATATTTAATTCAAAGTAACTCATATATTTTTCTCCAGGATGGCCGGGCTGATGTGGTTGCAAATGATGCGGGTGACAGAGTTACTCCAGCTGTTGTTGCCTACTCAGAAAATGAAGAGGTACTATTCCCCCTCACATTTTTGCTTTGAAATAAGTGAAAATTACATGCATTGTAATAAATATATTGCTCTTTTTCAGGTTGTTGGATTGGCAGCAAAACAAAGTAGAATAAGAAATATTTCCAATACAGTCATGAAAGTAAAGCAGATCCTTGGCAGAAGGTATGGAATAAAATATCACTTCAACATATAGGTAATAAAAGTGTGTGTATACATTCTAAGCATAATGTGGAATGAAACTAGAAACACCATTTGTTTCTTCTGGGGTTTGTTTTTTTCCAGTTTTTTCTGACTGAGTTATTTCAGAGAGTACTTCAGTAGCCAGTTTCTTTTGAAGATTAGTGTCAAATCTTCTCAAAAATGGGTTTCACTCAGATGTTTATTTCTTGCTGACAGGTCTGTTTGTATTGATAAATACCAACATTCCTTTCATTTTGATAGTTTGTGTCATTCAGAGGTGGTAATTTGGACTTTTTATATTTCAATTTTTTTTTTTGACTGAGGGAACTTGAAAGATTTGGGGGGAATTTGATGACTTCTTTGCACTGTAGTTGATTTTTGCAAAATCTATTATATTTGGTTATAATTTATGTAGATACTATCCATTTTCTTTGGGTCCTTTTGTGACTCTTTCTGGGAACTAACTTTTCCAGTGGCTTACAAATTTAATCATTAGAGAAACAGTTTAATTAGCATCATACGCAAGAATCAGGTTAATCATCTGTTACAGCTTTAATTAAAAGATTAAAGAGTCTTGCTTCCCCAGACTCATGTCTCCTCAAATTATAGATTATCATAATACTTAGGGGGTTTCATTTTCACTGTAGTAGTAATACTTGAAATGGTGTTTTTAAGTTTTCAGAGTGCTTTCACATCTATTATTTTATTTAATCCTCTCAAGTCCCTATAAGGTTAGTGGGGCAGGTTTTATCTCTTCCCATTTATAGATGAGAAAAATCAAGGCAAATAGAAGTTATGGTATTCCTAAAGTAGTAAGGGAGGTGAACTAGATAGGACTACAATTCAGGACTTATAAATTGGGCCCAGGTTGTTTCCTTTCTGTGTTCTGTTGAGAATTTAAATAGAAATTTTTTATGTTGATTTATTTTTTTATACATACAGATACTTTTTATTATCCTTTACTTGTGTGTAGTTAAACTGAACTTTACTTTTTCCCCCTTTTAGGATATCTATGCACTATGTCAGAAACTACAGTATTTTATAGAGAATTCAAATTTTTGTGGTGATGATGATGATAAATTAGTGGTTTCAAAGATGTTCAAATTATAAGTTCTGAAAAAAAGCAAGGAGTTATAGATGGATGTTGAAGCTAGATTCACTGTATGCAGCCAATAATATGTTATTTTAATTGAACTTTAATATTTTGAGTACTTGTACATAGTGTTGTAAGAAATAATACAAAGAGATGCTGTATTTTACTGGATTTACCACTTTCTCCCAATAATAACATCTTGCAAAATTACAGTATCACAACCAGATACTGACATTGATATAATCAAGATTTAGAACATGTCCACAGATGTATCCCCTAGTAGTCCTATTTGTTTTATGCTGCTGTTTTGGGGCAGACAATTGGAGTAAAGATGTGGTTGTCTTTTGCTATATTATGCAAAAAGCTCTGTATTAACAAGAATAACTTAAGCTTACTTTTCTGGCCCTGAAAGTTATCCTTTAACGAAGGAGTGGAATGGTGACAGTCAGATGGGTAATACATAGCCACAGTATGCTGCTTGCAGCAAGGTTAGTGAAGGATGAGCACCCTTCACACAAACTGCTACACCACGGTCCTGCTAGCTGCCTCATGCTCCAGGGATTTCCCAGTTCGTCTGTCTACTTAGAAGACAATGGGTGATTTTTACAGACACACAGGTATCCCAGGTTTCAGCCTTGGAAGCATTCTGGCCTTCATGGAGGAGCCAGTCCCCTTGTTATCAAGTCAGTAAGGCCCTTTTTAGCCCCTGGGTCAGTGTCTATCCTGGATGAACTCCCAAAGTTGGGCTTTTTCAGTCTTGGCATCCTACCTGTTTGTGACCTACTTACAGGTAGCACAGCTTAACTTGCTGCCACAATTATCCTTACACCCTTCCTGTAATTCTCATTCCCCTGTGGCCTTCCAGCCAGAAATTTGGTCCTTGGATCTGGCTTCTCAGCAATTAGCCCTGAGAGGGAAGAATCTGTTGGCTCCTGGAAATAAACTGAAAGCACCCAGAGTTTCCCCACACCTTCAGATTTGCACCTTGCTGTCCAGGAGCTTTCTTCAGCTAGCCTTCCTTCCCAGTCCACTATGGCCAATTCCAATAGCAGTGCGGGCATCCGGTGGTCCAGACAGGAGACGCGAACTCTTCTCTCCATACTAGGCGAGGCAGAATACATTCAACGCCTCCAGACTGTGCATCATAATGCAGATGTCTATCAGGCTGTGTCTAAGCGAATGCAGCAGGAAGGCTTCCGCCGCACCGATCGTCAGTGCCGCTCCAAGTTTAAAGTTCTGAAGGCATTATATTTAAAGGCATATGTTGCCCATGCCACTAGTATGGGTGACCCACCACACTGTCCATTTTATGAGACCTTGGATCAGCTTCTCCGAAATCAGGTAGTGACTGACCCAGACAACTTAATGGAGGATACTGCTTGGGCCAAGCACTACGCTCAGAACTTAATGGCCTCTGACAACCCAGGGGAAGAGGGAACCGGCATTCTGAAACCAAAAAGGACTCAGGCAGCAGATCATCAGCCTATCTCGAAAACAGTTAAGGAATCAGATGAGGATTGTCAGCTGAGAATCACTGACCAGATGCAAGAAACCAGTGACCTTGAGGACTCCTGGGATGAATCCTCAGGTGCAGGTAATTTCCAAACATGTAAAGGATTGGGTCCCAGAGTCACTTGGTTCTAAACAACAATATATGATTGGATGGTGTGGTGGGTTTTTTTTTTAACATAACCCCTGTTTTTGCCCCTGCCCTCTTTTTTTAAAACCTAATTATAAGATAAGGGGCTCCAGGTATTTAAAAGCTATGACCCTAGGTATGTAAGGTATAGAACTCTTTAATTGTATAAGTGCTCTTTAGAACCAAACTATTTTGGCAATATTTATAATGGGTACTTAGGCATTTGTGGATATAAAGTGGGTTGGATAGCGAAGTGGAAAGAGGCTCAGTAAGGTAAAGGGAAGGTTTTGGAAATAAGATTACAATAGGCTAAAATGGCCAGACCAATGAAATGAATTCTTCCTAGTCCCTTGTGGAAAGAGGATTTTCCAGGATCCACCATAGTTTTGTAATTGTCTCTCAGCTCTGCTGCTGGCTCCATGCATTCCCTTAGCAGGAATGCCCTCTCTGCAACATTGTTGCTTTGTCTTTCAGGGTGCTCTCAAGGGACCCCCAGCTACAACAGTTCCCACCACCTTTTCAGAGGTGCAGTTGCTCCCTGTCAGAGCAGCCCCATGACCAGACTGGGTGTGTCCGGTGAGCCCAGTCCCTGCACCAGCACGGGCCGAAACACTCCTGGGGTGGCCTTCACACAGCAGCCTCCAATCTCCTCCGGAGTTCCTTTTTCTGGTGGGGATAGGCCTTTGACCAGTGAGCCCCCTCCAAGGTGGGCAAGACGAAGAAGGCGGTCAGTGGCCAGGACTATTGCAGCTGAATTGGCAGAAAACAGGAGATTGGCACGAGAACTTTCAAAACGTGAGGAAGAAAAATTGGACAGGCTGATTGCTATTGGTGAGGAGGCCAGTGCTCAGCAAGACACTGCCAATGAGCTCCGCAGGGATGCCGTGATTGCAGTGAGACGCTTGGCAACAGCAGTGGAAGAGGCAACCAGTGCTTTTCAGCTAGGGCTTGAAAAATTGCTTCAGAGATTAATTTCTAACACCAAAAGTTAGGAACTGATGATAAAAGGGTATATACCCTAAACTGGTAGAAGCCCATATCCAAGACTTGACTTCTGGTGACCTGGATCTTCTTCCATGTCCTCAGAGAAAAGAGTGGATGAGCCGCAAATATACAGAAGAGTAGGAATATACGTGCTAGTTGTTTTTCCCAAACTTCTCCACTAATTGAAAGACTTCAGATATGTGAGAGGTGGCCTAATGGAAAATGGATGGAGCCAACTCCAGAGCTAGTTAGCCCTGGCTTTGTCACTGATATGAGGCAATTTAGTTTACCTCTCTGCACCAGCTTCCTCATCAGTAAAATGGGTGCTAGGTAACAATTCCTAACCTGCCTACCTCACAGGGATGTTGTGAGGATCAAATGGCTAATAGATGTGAAAGGGTTTAAAAGCACTATATACACATGTAAGTTATTAAATGTATATGACCTTGGCTGAGGTAAGGCGAGGATGCGGCACATTAGTTGACAAGATATAGAATTATGGTTGTATACCATGATGATTTCATTGCTTGAATAGTTGTTTAACTTGATTGCTTTCTGAAGTTTAAAGTCTTCAATTTTTTTAATGCTTCTGTAGCTCAAGACTACTATAGACACAACATCTATTTGTACCTTTCTCTCATTTTCACTGCTGTGTCTGTGACATTCCTACTAGTGAGCACTCAATAGTCAAACCATCTTTCCCTCCATTTTAATAGTTCTTAGTCTCTATAGGATATAATTCAAAACTAATAGGAAGCCACAATCATGTGTTATGGTTCATATTGATAATCCGATATAATGAGATATTGGCTGTTTATAAAATATTAAATGTAAGTAAATTCTTTGCATTCTATATTACTTGGGTCCATTACATGCATAATTACATATTGTTAAATTTCGATTGCTAATTGAATATCTTGGAAAGATTTGGGATAAAATCAGTTTCCCAGGTGCTTTTTAGCTAATTTCATTCTTTTTTGTTAGTGTTGTTTCTGTGTTGTATGTTACAGAAGGCAAGCACTAGAAAACTTTCCTTCTAGGGAACTTTCCAAAATCACTTTTTCTCACATGGTGTAGACCAGTGATGGCGAACCTATGACACACGTGTCAGAGGTGACACGCGAACTCATTTTTTTGGTTGATTTTTCTTTGTTAAATGGCATTTAAATATATAAAATAAATATCAAAAATATAAGTCTTTGTTTTACTATGGTTGCAAATATCAAAAAATTTCTATATGTGACACGGCACCAGAGTTAAGTTAGGGTTTTTCAAAATGCTGACACGCCGAGCTCAAAAGGTTCGCCATCACTGGTGTAGACAAAAGATCACCTAGTTAGTGGCATGTGGTGGAAAAGAATAGCTTTGGAAAGAGTTGAGGGTGGTGTGAATAAAGACTGCTTGCAATAAATAACTCCTTTTAAGCACAGGTTCTCAAAAAACATTCCATTTTCCCCAAAAAACACAGGTGTTGAGCCATATTTCCAATTTAAAAAGTTTTTCTTCAATCTAGAGGCTGAAAAAAAGTCTGAGCATGTTGGAAGAAGTTTTATATTTTGCAGGCTTAGGTGTTAATGCAGGAAATACAAATAGGTGAAGAAATAGTTAAAAAACAGTGGGAGCCCTAACCGGTTTGGCTCAGTGGATAGAGCGTCGGCCTGAGGACTCAAGGGTCCCAAGTTCGATTCTGGTCAAGGGCATGTACCTTTGTTGCGGGCACATCCCCAGTGGGGAGTGTGCAGGAGGCAGCTGATCGATGTTCCTCTCTCATCGATGTTTCTAACTCTCTATCCCTCTCCCTTCCTCTCTGTAAAAATTCAATAAAATATATTTAAAAAAAAAAAAAAGTGGGAACATACCTGGAACCATGAATAGATGTCAAGCAAGTGAGCTGCTCTGTTGAGTGGGTAATGGATGGAGGTGGCAGCTGCTGTGGTAGCATACACGAATCAAGTTAGAACTCCTGAGTTCTAATCCTGTCACAGTTACATTGGCAAATCATTTGAATTGTTTTAGGTCACTAAATGGCAGGATATGTGTCAGTTATAACTAGATAACACTAATGTAGGTAGGTAGACATTTTGGAAAAACAGGGAAGTACTTGGTGAAAAATGAGGCCTGTACTATATTAATCTGTTAATGATGGCAAAATAAATAGGCAGTGATTTATTTAAGATAAAGGAAGTGCTAAAGTATAGAAGTGGAGTTAAATTTTGAAGGTAGTACTGTGAAAAGCTAATGGGTAATGTAACCTTAATGTGGGAATAAAACTAAAGGAAAATAACTTAAAGAAGTGAACAGAACAGAAATAGGCAAAATATTATAAAGAGGAGGGAAGTTGTAATAAGGGGATGTTATGTGAAAGAAAACAAGCCCAGAAATCCTACTTAAGTTCCAGGCCAAACCATTACTACCTGTCCATCCTTAAGTGGGTCATTTTACCATTCTACTAGTATATCTCAGGATCCTCACCTATTAAGAAACTGGTAACTGTTCTACCTACCTCACGGGATCGTTGTGAGGGTCAAAGAAACAGATAAATGTAAAAGTGCTTTCATACATGGAAAGCACTATACTGTGACAGTAGTGGGAAAGAAGACCCTGTGCACGTTAATGCTGGTATGTGCCCAGTCTAAGGGCCTGCTGACCATGCAAGAGACATGTAAGGAAGGAGGAGGAAGAGAAAATGGCATTGCTGATAAAGGTTGTGATACTATGGTAGGGTTAACATTCTGCCTCCTTAAGACCATGATGTAAATAAGGTGCTGTGTATACTAACCTCCCACCACCCTTTGTTTTTCTGTTACATAATTAATCCTGGTGTGGACAAATAAAGTTTTTATTTGTATGTAGTTGTGAGTCAGTTCGCTACTTTCTGGTGCTATCCGTGATCATTTGTCGTCACCTGCATTCTCTGTTTTCTGCTTTTCTTCTAGTTAATCTCCAGGTTCTTGCCTATACATAGCCTCCAAGAGCTATGTGTGCTTTCTGTCTTCACATAAGCCAGGGCCTTTTTGCATAGCAGTTGAGAAATACTTTTCCTTTCTATGAGTTTTATAAATTCCATAAAATATCTTTTCCCAACAAATATCTTCTCTGAGTGATAGGTAGCCTACACAATAGGATAAATTATCCTGGTTGACTTAAATTCTAGTCTTAAAACAACTGGTAAAGGTGCACAATTTACAATATTGGTGCAAAAAAATTACTATAGGCACACTTCATCTGATTCTTACTCTTAAAATATTTGTCCAGGATATAGTCTATTGCAGTGGTTCTCAACCTTCCTAATGCCGCGACCCTTTAATACAGTTCCGCATGTTGTGGTGACCCCCAACCATAAAATTATTTTCGTTGCTACTTCATAACTGTAATTTTGCTTACTGTTATGAATTGTAATGTAAATATCTGATATGCAGGATGTATTTTCATTGTTCACGTCCCACAGATTGAGAACCGCTGGTCTATTGGGTGTTTGAAAAGGGAAGAAGGGGAGGGTTCAGTGGATAGAATACTAAAGTTTGCATTAAAGATCTGGATTCTGGCCAGTTCTGCCATTAACCATGTGACTTTACCTGTTTCCTCACTACCAATTTTTAGGTGATAGAGAAGGAAGTGTGGGGAATCTGCAAGTATTCAGACAGACTTCTAAGCCAAATTAGGCAATTTTAAACAACCCTTTTGTCTTTCTCTTAGTTATACAGGTAGGGTTATCAGATGTTCAGTAACCCTTTAGCACAAGCATGTCAAACTAAAAAGCTAACATGAGCCAAATAAACAAGGTTTAAGTTTGGGCCACAAAAAAACAAAAGCCTCAATTTTCATAGAAACATAGGTTTATTTCGATAGAGACATGCTGAATACAAAAGGCTGAAATGAGTAATCATTAACGTAAAATAATAGAACACTTTAATAAAAATTAAGTTTTTCTTGAACATTAACTTACCAGACACTGAATAACTGCACAAATTAATAAGTGCAACGCAAATAAACCTATTTTTCTTGTTCTCTGAAAGACAAATATTTCCTGTTGCGCACACCAAACAAGTCAGTCCAAGATTAATGACAGGGCAATCGGCTGCTAAAATATTCACTGATAGTATAACATGCTTGCTTTAGCAGTTAGCCACTATTCATTTCCACCTCTTCTTATTAAACATTTAAGACTGGTTTCTGAACAGAATAGCCACAGCCCTTGGAAGAAGGGTTTAGGGCAAGCATGTCAAACTCGTGGCCCACAATGAATATTTTTGTGGCCCAGCCAATATAATGGTATGTAAGAAATGTTTTAATAAAAAGTTCATAACTTAGTTTTTACAATATCCTGTTATACATAATTATTAATGATGAACTACAACGTTCACTAATGACTGATTACTATAATCATGTTGCATTCATTTCCCTTACGTGCAGGCACACCATTTCTCTCCACTAATACTAGCAGCGAATATTTTAGCAGCCGATTGCCACATCATTAGTCTTGGACTGACTTGTTTGGTGTGCGCAACAGGATATATTTCTCTTTCAGAGAACAAGAAAAATAGGTTTATTTGCATTGCACTTACTAATTTGTGCAGTTATTCAGTGTCTGGTAAGTTAATGTTCAAGAAAAACTTAATTTTTATTAAAGTGTTCTATTATTTTATGTTAACGATTACTCATTTCAGCCTTTTGTATTCAGCATGTCTCTATCGAAATAAACCTATGTTTCTATGAAAATTGAGGCTTTTGTTTTTTTGTGGCCCACATAAACCTTGTTTATTTGGCTCATGTTAGCCTTTGAGTTTGACATGCTTGGTTTAGGGGACGGATTTACTTCATCTCAGTAAGATGAAATTAACCAAAGATCAGTTAGTTATTCCTATTTCTGCTCAAGGGGTAGAAGTACTTAATCATGCACCATCTTATTGCCAGGCAGTGAACAACCATACCCTGATAGAGAAAACCTGGGATCAAATACTGACTCCGCCCCTTATTAACTGTTAAGTCATTGACCCTCTATGAACCTGTTATCTCTAAAATAATGTCTGCCAAATTAATCCCATTAAGGTATTGTGAAGATCGAGTGAGGTAATATATGTGAAAACAGTCTGCATAAATTGGTATTACTATTTTGAGCAACAAAACACCCCTTTTTTTTCTATTGCCATGCACTTTTATTTAGTACCCACTTTATATAGGGTAATATAGATCTGTCCACCTGTAGTACTGTGTACCTTTCCATATATAACATTTGTACTGTTGCTCACTCTTGATTTTGGGTGTTGATTCATGTTCAGACCAAGCAACAGAGATGGTATTAGGCATGCTGGTTTGCCCTTAGTTTGCAATCTTATCTCTTTTGTCCTTTTTATCTCAGTGGTTGGGTCTTCAGGATTATAGATGGGGAAGTATGTAACAAAATCATTGACATTATGAAAAATCACCCCCAAATGTATTATAGTCGTATTAGTAGCAGTAAGATCAGAACAAGGAAGAGCTACTTTCAAATGCAAAGATTAACACTTCAATAGAATTACTATAACCTTTGTAAACATTCTCTGTAGTAATTGAAATTTTTTTGAAGTTTTTTAAAATATTAAGCAACTTAATTTTGTTTATATTTTTATATTTGTTCAGTGGTAATAAAAAATATAGTGTTCTTTAAAACTTATATATGAAAAATACAGATTTTAATACTTAATTATCTTTATCTTTATGAACAGCTCTGATGACCCACAGGCTCAGAAATACATCACAGAAAGTAAATGTTTAGTGAGTATGGTCCTGTTATTACTTTCCTATTACACAAAGTAATTGCAAAGGTGCTGTCCTATAATATTGGTTTGAAACTTTATATTTTTGTTAAAATTATTCCTTATTTAACACTTAAATTTTCTTTCTAGGTCATTGAAAAAAATGGGAAATTACGATATAAAATAGATACTGGAGAAGAAACAAAATTTGTTAACCCAGAAGATGTTGCCAGACTGATATTTAGTAAAATGAAAGGTATTGAGCCAAAAAAAAAATTTTTTTAAGAGTTGACCTTAAAAGTAGACATATTTTTTGGTTTCATCACTTCTGACGAGGGCTAGAGCTGAGTGGCATTCTTAAAACAATTTAGGAAATTTTGGAGTAGATTATGCATAAGGCTCGCATCACCTCTGGAATTATACTATGAGTTTGTGGGATGTAAGGCATCCCTTTAATGTGTTGAACTAACATTATACTGTTTGTCTTTACATTGACACATTAGAAGCTCATTCCCAATAAAAACCAGTCTAATTTGGGAGGTGGTTAAAACTGAAGCCTAAGAGCCAGGCACCTTAGAAAGTACCTAGTTCTATGTCCACAAACTACCAAATCCACACGCATGATTTAAGAGAGCAAAAAAAGAAAATCAATAGGGTGGGACAGCAAGTGAACTGGAAAATCTTTATAGTGAGAAGATCTTTGCTGCAAATTGATAAACCTCAGAAAATATCACTTGATATATTTCTGTGTCATCAGAATTTATTTTTATGTTTTTTTAATATATAGAAACGGCACATTCTGTCTTGGGCTCAGATGCAAATGATGTAGTTATTACTGTTCCATTTGATTTTGGAGAAAAGCAAAAAAATGCTCTTGGGTAAGTATAATATGGGTTTATTTTATTTGCTTAAAGGAAATACAAATTTTACAATATCACCATATAGTAAAAAAGTAAAATTACATTTGAAAACCCCTTGGCCAATAAAATTTTATTTGTAACGTGTATTTGTAAATAGTATGGTAAAAAGTATGTTACTGATAATATTTCCTATCTTTTATGAAATGTCAAGAGAATATAAAATTAGATGTACCTTCTTATCTATTTTGATTAGAAATGTTTTTAATTACCAGGTTAAGTTGATGTTTATGAATTACTTTGCCTTATTTTTAAGTAATTAGGGTTTATGTTGAAATTATATAAAAATAGGCAATTTTATATGTTTGCAGGTATTCCTTCACCTTAGTTCTTAACATCTAACCAAAAAGTTGCATGTCGTTTTTATAGATTGTGCAAATATAATTGGTGAGAATGCATGTCTTTACTTTTGGGATACAGTTCCACATGAGGTTTTGGCAAGCATCTAGGTTGCTTCTGGGGCAGAGAATTGCTTCATTTACTTGAACTGGAGGGATATTAAAAACTGACTCTAAAAGAAATTGGAAAATTGCAAAATGTTATAAATTTGTCTAAAGTTTATAAGCATAGGCATTTTTGAGAGCTTTCTTTTTCTTGTTAAGTATAAACACATGGTATTTTCTTAATTAAGAAAATAGACTCTGAACATTATTATCTACGCTAATAAAAGATGTAAATTGACCATCCCTTCATGACGCCCACCAGCCAATCGAGTGAATATGCAAATTAACCCGATAACGCACACACACCGAGCAGCTGGGGGCAGGGTGGGACGCTTGCGTCATTGCCATGGCGACGATGCAGGCGTTTCACATGGCGACGATGCAAGTGTTTCACACGCCCCAACCGCTCGGGCCTCTAGGCAGTGTGGAAGGTGGAAAGGTGGCTTCGGGCCAGAGCGAAGGCAGAAAGGCAGCTCCGGCCAGAGTGAAGGCAGTGCTGGCAGCCAGGGGAAGGAAGGCCTGTTCTTGCATGAATCTTCATGCAGTGGGCCTCTAGTTTTTTATAAAACAATACCTAATTATTTATTTAACCAATGTGAGTTAAAATAAAAGTTTAAAGACAAATATAGCATGTTACATAGTTGTGAGTAAACGTTAGCTTTTTAATATTGAGTAGACTCAGTTTTGAAAAAGTAATTCAAGACCTGACAATAAAACTAACATGAAGCATAAGAAATCCTATGTAATAAAGAGCTAATATGCAAATGTTTGTCATGCCATCACACGCCAAACAGCTCAGACACTCAACACTGGGGAGAGAGGAATGGGGACCAGCCAGGCTGCAGCCCGGGAGAGGGACAAGCCACCCGCCCCATGGTCCCAGGCACCTCCGGCTGCGGCCCAAGCAAAGCACCCCGCCTACGGTCCCCTGCAGCTGCGGCCGGCCCGGGTCCTGGGTGCCTGTGGCCCGCCAGAGGAAGGGAAGCCTGGGTCCCGGGTGCCTGCGACCAGCTGGAGGAGGGAATCCTGGGTCCCGGGTGCAGGACGAGGCAGAGGCAGTTAGGAGCGATCAGGCCAGTAGGGGAGCAGTTAGGGGCAATCAGGTAGGCAGGCAGAGGTGGTTAGGGGCGATCATGCAGGCAGAGGGGTTAGGGGCGACCAGGCTGGCAGTCAGGCGAGCAGTTAGGAGTCAGCGGTCCCGGATTGGGAGAGGCAGTCAGACGTCCCCTGAGGGGTCCTGGATTGGAGAGTGTGCAGGCCGGGCTGAGGGCCCTCCCTCCCACCCCCCGTGCACAAATTTCATGCACCAGGCCTCTAGTTATTTTGATGAAATAAAATGTTTGCATTTTAGGTAGATTACTTAAAAGGTAAAGAAAAACCTTTCTCAAACTTTTGTCAGAAGCAGCTCAATAGTCAAAGAAAACTCCATTTAGCAGATCAAAGAAAATTTTTAGTTTTCCGTAAGTATACTATTCATTTTTCCGGTAAAGTATACTATTCCATATTAGCCGCCTTTAAAATCCCTATATAATAAAAAGGCTAATATTGCATAATTTGACCAAACCGGCAGAACAATCGGTTCGCCTGTGACGGCGCACTGACCACCAGGGAGCAGACGCTCAACGCAGGAGCTGCTCCCTGGTGGTCAGTGTGAGCACCGCTCACCAGAAGCCGGGCTCATGGGTGGCGAGCGCAGCAGCAGTGGCGGGAACCTCTCCCGCTTCGCAGCAGCGCTACAGGATGTCCAACTGACGGCGTAGGCCCCCCCCCCCCAAGGGGCCCTAAGCCTTCATTCGGACTTCTCCCGAAGGTTCCCAGCCTCCAAGGGGGCCCAGCCCGGGCTGTGAGACCCCCCCCCCCCCCCCCCCGTGCACAAATTTCATGCACCAGGCCTCTAGTACTATATAATGCATTGGTTCCATTTTAGATAGCTTCTCTATACAAGATCAGTTCTCTTTATTTCCAGTTTTTTAATTTGTTCTTTATTTCTTTGTTTCTCATTCTTAATAACGAGTTGTACAAAATTACTTTTTTCTTTGTTTTTAATCTTTATTATTGAAAGTATTACACATGTCCTTTTTTTTTTCCCATTGACCCCTTCTAGCCTGCCCCTGTCCCTTGCCCCAGGCTTTCACCACACTGTTGTCTGTGTCCATGAGTTATGATCCCACTTTTGGGAATGATCCCACTTTAGGAATATATTCCAAGAAACCCGAAACACCAATCAGAAGGAATATATGTACCCCTGTGTTCATAGCAGCGTAATTTACAATAGCTCAGATCTGGAAACAGCCCAAGTGCCCATCAGTAGATAAGTGGATAAAAAAGCTGTGGTACATTTACACCATGGAATATTATGCAGCAGTATGAAAGAAGGGTCTCTTACCCTTTGAGACAGCATAGCAGGACTTGGAGAGTATTATGCTAAGCAGAATAAGACAGAGAAAAACAAGTATCACATGATCTCACTCATATATGAAATCTAATGAACAAAACTGATGAACAAAATAGATGCAGAGATATAGAAGCATGGAACAGGCTGTCGAATCTCAGAGGGAAGGCAGAGATGAGTAGGAAGAGATCAACCAATGAACATTATTAAATGGAAAAAGATCTCAAGAGTTACATTCATCTCTTGTGTCCTATTATATTGCTTCTAAAGATCATTACCATCCATAGTCTACTTATGCAATCTTATTTGCTATTGCATAAAATCTTACAGTAGAGCATTTCTAAAATGTACAGTTGAACATGTGATGCTAAATTCACTGAAAGCAAATTGTCCACAGGGAAGCAGCCAGAGCTGCTGGCTTTAATGTTTTGCGGTTAATCCATGAACCATCTGCAGCTCTCCTGGCTTATGGAATTGGACAAGACTCCCCCGCTGGAAAAAGGTAAAAATGGTATTTTCAGCTTTAAATTATTCAGTGCAGAAAACATTTAAGATTTATAGCAATTACATCAGTAGAGATTATTATAAAATGCAGTGCTTCCAAGCCTTTGTGAATGGAAAGACATCAAAACTCTCAACTGGAGTTTTTCAAATAGATGAGAAAGGTGTCCTAGGAAAGCAGAGAAGGGACATAACAGGAGGGAAGATTGACCTTATCTATCCTTCTCTTATGACCCACATTTTGTCCCTATAATTGAGATAGATTTGAAATTTGTAAGCTTAGCCACATTCCAAATCAAGCTAGGACACTTAATTTTACTACCAATTTCAGTTATTAAATTTGTTTATAACTAGTGAGTAGTTTTATGCACATTTGTCTTGACAGATGACGAGAAATCCAACGTGAGGATTTAAGAATTATTTTGATTATGAAACAGTAAAACATACTCCTAATTTAGTTGTCAAAGTTGTCTTATATGCAGCTTCAAGGAAATTAATTCAGATGTGTTAATGTTCTCTAATTGTTTCACCTTGTATCTTATCTCACAGTTTGAGTAAAGAAATGAATATATATAAATCAGTAGGAAATTATTTTTAGGTAAATTAGATAAATGTAAAATATCAGAAATTATAAATTTTTATACATAGGAAATTAGCTTCTAGTTTTGGGTATGTTTCATGTTTATAGACACGTTATTGCAGCAGTAACTTGGATAATATTAACACAAAATTTCTATTTTTTAATTCTCTTACATTCACTATATCACAAATCTTTTCTTTATTTAAAAAGTTGGTGTTTTGAACTCTAGTTATTCAGAAGAATACAATTTTACCAGCACAACTAAATGAAAAATAAATTTGACTTAAAATTGAAAGATCTAGTTTTTAAGCTTAATTCATCACTAAGTGATGACTATGGACAATTTTTTTTTTAATGGAATTTATTGGGGTAACACTGGTTAACAAAATTTACAGGTTTTAGGTGTACAATTCTACAACACTGTATTGTGTGTTCACCCCCCCAAGTCAAATCTCTATCATCATTTATCCTCCCTATACCCTCTTCTACCTCTCTCCACACCCCTCCCCCCACCAATCACCACACAACCATGGACAAGTTAGTTACTCATGAGATTTTCAGTTTCCTTATTTGTGATCTAAATGGATTAAACTAAGTGGCTCCTTAGTTTAAGAAGTGGAGCCTAGCTTTAAAATGTTGTGTTCTCATAACTTACTCATGTTATCCCTTTTTTAAGCAATATTTTGGTGTTCAAACTTGGAGGAACATCCTTATCTATCAGTGTCATGGAAGTTAACAGTGGAATATATCGTGTTATTTCAACAAACACTGATGATAACATCGGAGGTACACAATTTACAGAAACCTTAGCACAGCATCTAGCTTCTGAGTTTCAGAGGTGAGTAATAATGAATTTGATTATATATATTGTTGTTGTTGGTCTTCACCTGAGGATATTTTTTCCATTGATTTTTAGAGAGAGTGGAAGGAGGAGAGAGAGAAAGAAATAGAGAAATATCAATGAGAGAGTATACATTGATTGGCTGCCTCCCACACATGCCCCTACCGGAGCCAGGGAACCTACAACTGAGGCACATGCCCTAACCAGGAATCGAATGCATGATCCTTCAATATGCTGGCCAATGCTCCAACCATTGAGCCAAACCAGCCAGGGCTGATGATATATTTTGATTGAAGTTTGTCTTTAGTTTTTTTGCCCTAATTTATTTGAAATTGCTCTGCTTCAAAGGAGGATGTGTTTTTTTCCAATGTACTGGATATTTTTGTGGAGTTAATATCTATCCATGCAAATGTTGGGAAGCATAGGCCAAGCATAGTCCAGTGCATTGTGCTTGGATTTTTTACTTAGTTTAAGGGATTACCAGACACGGAACTGCATGGACTTGGATCTCAAGTTCAGTTTCTTAATTCTTCATCTGCTGCTTTATGTCTCGGGAAAGGCCTCACTACCTTCTGAACAGTTTTTAAGTTTAGAGCTGATGATGAAGATTACATTGTTATAGTCACATTCCAGGGAATTAATGGAGTGTTTACTTAATTACTAATCTACTACTACAGAGAATATTTTATTTTTGTTACTGGATGCAGTTATTCCATTCAAAATTCTAATCTTCTTTGGTAAATCAAGAGCCACATATATAAAGGTTATATTTTGGACATTACCGCGCTAAAAAAAAATGTGGCTGAAACAGTGTTTTCATCTGTTTAGCTCAGCAGTTCTCAACCTGTGGGTCGCGACCCCTTTGGGGGTCGAACGACCCTTTCACAGGGGTTGCCTAAGACCATCGGAAAACACATATAATTACGTATTGTTTTGTGATTGATCACTATGCTTTAATTATGTTCAATTTGTAACAATGAAAATACATCCTGCATATCAGATATTTACATTACGATTCATAACAGTAGCAAAATTACAGTTATGAAGTAGCAATGAAAATAATTTTATGGTTGGGGGTCACCACAACATGAGGAACTGTATTAAAGGGTCGCAGCATTAGGAAGGTTGAGAACCACTGGTTTAGCTATACTGGATAAAAGAAAGTCTTGAAAAAGTGGTAATTTCTTATTTGTTAAAGAGCTATACCGTTTTTTGTTATAAAGGTGTCCCAATTCAAGGTAGAGCATTGTTAATTTTACTCACAATTCTAATTAATGTACATGTTTAAAAACAAGGCCTTTGCTCACTGCCTATCAAACATGGTTAATAATTAATTCATCTTGGAGATAGAGGAACTGTAATTCTACATGTTTTGTATGTGTCGAATTTCTTTAAAGAACTACTTTTATTTATTTTTTTAATGCTGGACAGATAATTTTATACCATTGACCAACGCCTCAATTGTAAAGGGTAATATATGAGATTTGACCTAGTTACATTTATCTCCTTCAACCTCCATTTGTCTCATCTGCAAAAAATAAAAAATGGCAGGTACTGTGCTTTCTTTAAAGTACACTGTATTATTAAAGGTACAGAATGCAGAAGTTCAGAGTATTATGTATATTGGTTATTGATTTTTCTTGAAGAGATTCTTCTTTTAATTGTGAGGATTTTCTTCAGAAATTTTGGTGGGTTGGAAGCCAGATGCTAAAATCTGGTATTAATACTGCTTTATGAGTTGCTTATTATCTTTTTTTTTTTTTTAACTGAGTTGCTTATTATCTTTTTTTTTTTTTAACTATATGTGGGTTTTTTTTTTATTGCTTAAAGTATTACAAAGAGTATTACATCTATCTTCTCCCCCCCCCCCTTGACAATCCCCCAGCCTCTCCTACCCCCTAGTGTCTATGTTCATTGGTTATGCTTATATGCATGCATAC